ACCAGGCTGGCCTCCAGCATTCCTGAACTGTGAAGGGGAAGGGCTGGAGCTTCGTGGCTTGGACATCGGAACATGGCTGAGAAAAACAGCCAGGCGGAAAATCTTGAGGGGAGGCTGTGGGCTTCCCATGTGAGACCTAATGACCAAGGGAGGGGCAGAGGCCGTTTTCCACATCCGATGCCCCTAACAGGAAGCGAAAATGTGTGAGTCAAGGTCTAAAGATAGGAACCATCTTACTTTCACTACCCCTTCATCCAGCGTCCATCCCTTCCTAAAGGGAAACGGGAGACATTATCATTGGTCATCCACCAAAGATCAACTGTGGGTCAAGAGTTCGGCATTAACCCCTGTTGGAGAGTCTTGAGAAGACCTGATCCCACTTTGCTTCTGGGTTTCCCGTGCCTTCCAGCATTGGGAACCACCGAGGAGGCGATTGTCAAGAATGTCAACTTTCAGCAGAGCGTTAAGTTGACAAGCAGAGGTCCAATCTGTTCATGTCTGGTTGAACGTGGTCCTTTGGACATTGACTGGCTGCTAAGAGGAGCAACCTCTGGGCCTGACGATACAGGACACTTGGTTTGATTGTCCCAATGGATTTGCTGATCTTTAAGGAGGCTGTTTGCTACCGTTTGGGTTTGGCAGTCTCAAACCGCGCTAATTGTGTTGCGCTAATTACGTAGAGGTTACTTCCTGCCTTGCCAGACAATGGACCTATTTGTAGAACAATGAAGAAGACACGGGGCCCCTTTCTTTCTGAATCCTGGCTGGCAGGAGATACCTACAGATGCAGCCATTCCTAAAAGGGAGCTGCTGACTTGAATCCTGGGTGCAGGAGACCTCTGAGTATCTTTGAACTCCTGTCTCCAGAGGGAATGGTTCTCAGATGCCGAATGGGAAGGAAATGGTTGGACATCCTCTCTCTCTCTCTCTCTCTCTCTCTCGATGCTAGTCAAAAGATATCAAAAAATGCTGTTTCGGATTTGTGTGTTCTTGTGAGAAACACAGGAAGTGGGTTTTCCACAGAGATAGATTAATTGCAGCCATCTGGTACTTATACACATCAGGGTTTGGATTTTCCAAGACCTTACCTGGAGCTGTGGAGGGGCCATCTGTTAGCAAGTGGGTGCTAATGCACAGAACTAGCAGATTCCTCTGTCTTTTTTTCCTTTTGAACACACACACACACACACACACACACACACACACACACACACACACACACTGTTTATAGGACTTTGCCTTCTCCTCTACACAATCCTGGTGTCAGCTGTTTCTCAAAGAGCCCCATGGAGAAACAACTGCTGTTGATATCTCCAGCGGTATCTGTAGGGGGTCTGTTGGGAAGGTCCAAAAGTCACGATAATGGCTGTAACCATTAGGTTTTGGGGGCTCTGGATGACCCTGGAAGCAAGTAGTAAGAAAAAGAGAAGGAGGCCTCATCTCTTTGTCACATGTAAAAGGGAGGCGGGACTTCGATTCATATGTAATCATGGCTTCTATGAAGCCGTGTTGACTTGGTTGACCTTGCTAGCAGACCTCTCCTTTTTAGCTCTGGTGACTCTGCTCTTGGGCTTTCCAAAGTTTTGGAGAAGATGGTTCTAAGACGGTTGGGCCTCAACGTTTTCTGAACTAGAGGGCATCCTTAAGCCAGCATGGATTTCACCCACCTGAGCAACTTCTGTGTTGTTGGAGAGGGGACCAGATGGGCCTGAAAACAGGAAACTGACATGGCTGTTTCTCATTTGGAGTCGAGTCAGGACCCCACCCCCCTTTAATAAGGGAAGAGTTCAGAAGAATCTCTGCCCCGTGAGAGGCTACCCAGCTCTCTGATCTGGCAGCTGGAGGAGATTATGAGCATGTTCAGCTAGAGAAGAGAAGACTTGAAGGAGGCACCATCGTTGTCTTCGGTTATCTGTCACCGAGAAGATGAGGCCAAGTTTGCAGGTGCTCCAGAAGACAAGCCAATAAGAGCAACAGTTCAGTGATCAAATCCTTGAAATTATGGGTTCCCCGTTGGTACCCTTGAGTGATGCCTCCAGAGTTGACCTGGCAGGTGTTGTCTTGGTAGAGTTAATCTCTAGAGGTTGTAGGGGGTTTGATGCCTTACAGAATCCAGAAGGAAGTTGGCAGGAGAGGGGGGGACTCAGAGAGTTGCAAACCCAATTTATTTCTGGAAGGCGGCCTGGTGGGGAAAGAGATTTGAGTTGGGAAGCTGGGCTGTTCAGCAGGCAAATCACAGTGGCATGCAAGCATCCCCTTATAAGGAAGAATAGCCGGAGACACAAAAAGCTTGTTTGATTCCGTTGCTGAGAGAACGGGGGGGGGGGGTGTGGGAGGGGGAGGAAAGACCTTCCTGCGCAAATCGTCCCAGCAGCCCATTAAGGGTTTAGCTGATTGCAGACCCGCGGCAGGGAAATCTGTGTCGAAATGCACACGGCTCGAAGCTTGTTGAGTTGAAAATGGAGGGTTGAGGCGGAGGGGAGAGCATATAATTTAAGAACAAATACTTTTCTCCGAGTCCTTACATTTCCCTTCTTGCTCTGGGTTCAAAGGATAAATAATGACACCGAAACTCTGCCACGGAGCTTCTCTGCTCCTTCCTGGTTTAATTCAACCTCCTGTCTATCGTTGGTTGTTGGACCAAGTATTTCAATCCTTTGGGATGCAGAGCGACCGTCCGAGCACCTTTAAGTAGAGGAGGTCCGCAAGAAGTTAGCTTAGAAGAAGTCGGTCACCTGGTTCACACTTCCTGATCGAGCGGGGACTTCTGGAGGCCATAGCATCTGGATGATGTAACGGTCAAGAGAGTTTGGTCCTTGGTACCTAAGATGTGACTGCAGGCTAGTCGCTATTTCTCCACCCAGAGAGAAAAGATAAGGGGAAACCAGGAGACGCAACACCCAATGCGTGAGAAACTTGGTCCCTCTCCATCCTTCCTCCAGGGACCAGACAGGGTTAAGAGGAAGCCATCCATGGTTCTTCAGCCTTGTCATCCATCTCTCTGCTCCTGGCTGGCTGGCTGGCTGTTTAGACTTGCTGTCTGTCTTGAGTAAACTTCAAACCTCTTTTAACGTGTCCTCTGGCTGATCTCTTGTAGGCTGGAAGGAGAAACGGCAGGGTTGTCACCATCCCTCCGGGAAAGGAGCAGATGTGGCTACTGCTTCGCTTCTTCCCCTCCCACCTTCTACTCCTTCCCACATGTGAACGTTGCGCCGTTGCACTAAAGCATTTATTGTGTGGAAGCCCGATGGGTTTGGGATGGAGGACACACGAGTTGAGTCACAGCTTGGTCCTGCTTGGGGTGGTATTCTGGTGACTAGCAGCAGATCTGCGTAGGGTTTCACAAGCTCTGAACAGATGGAGCGTGGTGGTCTCCATGACATACGGACTGCACAGTTGAAGACGAAGATCTCCAAACTTGGCAACTTTAAGACTTGCGGACTTCAACTCCCGGAATTCTGGGAATTGAAATCCACGAGTCTTAAAAGTTGCCAAGTTTTGGGACCCCTGGTTTAAGACAAGCATGAAGTACGAAGCAAACGCATCTCAGAGCCCACTGTTGTGTTTTGGGCTCTTGTTATTTCTTGCTTTCCTCTGATGCGTTTGCCAACCTTGAAGGAACTCTACTCCCCGTCGTTGAACCATCCTTATTTTGCCTGGTCCCTGTCAGGTGCATTTCTCAGAGCGACCCTAGTGACTTATGTCCAGTTTTCTGTTCCTAATTGCAGGGAGTTGTAGCTCAAGGGCTACCTATAAATCTGTCTGTGTGTATATGTCTTCAGACTTTGGAGCAAGGGTCTTCAAACTTGGGGACTTCAACTCCCAGAATTCCTGAGCTAACATGACTGGAGGAGGAATTCTGGGAGTTGAAGTCCAACAAGTCTTAAAGCTGTCAAGTTTGAAGACCCCTGCTTTGGAGTGTTGGGTTGGTGATTGAAGAAAGTTGCAAAAAAGAAGACATTTGGAGAGAGTATAATGTACGTGCGTATGTGTGTGTGTGTCTTGGCAAGAAGGTGTGAGTCACAGAGATGACTTTTCGGATGAAAACCACAGTAGAGAAAGTCGGATGTAACCTCTTCTTGGCTCCGTTTTCCTCCCGGGATACTTTTAGCCCCAGTCAATATTTTGTCTTGTCTTTTTTCTTTTTCGGATGCTGTTTTCCAGAAAGAGGTAGCTGCCAATTTTAGAACCGGTATTTATAATTATGATGTTAAGAATAGCAGGAGGTGAGCCCATGTTTAGTTGGCTTTTTTAAGGTTTTAATTTGCAGGGTTTGGAAAGCTTGGTTTTAGGGGCCGTGACGCAGCTGAGATTCTTGATGGAGCCAAACGGCGAAAGGTGTGAAGCAAAGTTTTCTGGTTTCCAACTTGGAATGGAAACCGGGGACAGGTTTCACCTTAAGCTGCCTTAAAAAGGGAATCGGGGTGTGAAATTTTGGGAATTGGGACTCCAATAAACCTGTAGAGGATCAGGTTGTAGAAATGCTTGAAAAATTGTTTACACAACGGGTTTGAGAGAGAGAGATTTTTCCAAGCATGTTGGATATTAGAAAGGAAAATAATACAAATAAAACCACTGCAATGTTCCCAAAGTGGTTCCGCCATATTTGAGAAAGCCAGCTTGGTGGAAACGCAGAGAGTCCTTAACCTTTGACCACAATTAAGACAAAAGATTGTTGTGAAATGCTGTCCGTCATCAAATGAGACATTGCATCTCTGCGACTTGTGGCTTTCCCCATTGGTTTTGCTTGATGTAAGCTGGCTGGGAAGGACACTAATTATGACCCCAGGGATAAATGTGTAAATTGCAAAACACCAAATGACAATCAAGGGAATTGTAGGGTTGCAAGTTTGAGGACTGGTTGTAAGTCACATTTTTCAGCGCTGTCGTAATTTACAACAGTCCCTAAGTGATTGACCATGATTTGAGGACTACTTGTAAGGCTTGTCATTCCACGGTTTCTCTTCTTACTTGCTCGTTGCTCTCTGTTTCTTTTCCAGCCCACGACTTTGGCACAAGGAACCATCAACATGAACCAGTGTACGGATGTTGTGGACGGAGAGAATCGAACCGGGCAGAAGTTCTCGCTGTGCATCCTGACACCTGAGAAGGAGCACTTCATCCGAGCCGAGAACAAGGAAATCATAAGTGGGTGAGCGAAGGGTTGAGGTACAGAAACGAGTGGGTGGTCGCATGTGAGAACTCTTCAGGATGGAGCACCAGGAAGTTCTGGAGAGTGGTCGGACTATTGTTGGCTTGTTCCTGAGGCTGTCAAGATTGGGGTTGGTTCTTCATCTAATCCTCTTTGAGGAAACCACCTTCTCATAGACTTCCAGGTATGTTGCTCAGATGTGGGTTCAAAGGATGTCTGGGCATAGATGTTGAGATTTAGTGGCTCTCCCCCAGAAAAGAGGAAGTAGGATATCAGATGCTTCATCAGAGAGGCCCCGTCATTGATTGGTCTGCCCACAGCCCCATGTCAAGGATTCTGGGTCCTTAACCCCTTTCGTGGTCCTGATGATTCAGATCACCTAGACGGGAGGCCATCGAGTTGCAGAAAGTGGCTTTCCTAGTCAGCATGGAGAACCTTCTGCTTGTGGACTTCGAAACAATCTCTCACCTCCGCTCGGTTGTTACAGTGAACCACGGGATCTATTCGGAGAACACCTCTTGTAGGTGAGGATGTGGTTAGCATTATCCACAGTCCCAAAATGTGGGTGTTCCCACTCAAATAGGCTCTGTGCAACCTACTTGCAAACTCAAAACCTCTACCTCGTTTTGGTGGTGACACAGGAGGTGAGGCTGACACATTCGCACGGTTTTTGCAGTCCTGTGGCCCTCTTGTTGTTCTCCTCCTTTGGCTTGGAGGTTGGTCTTCTGCCTCAGCTTCTTCCTGGCTGTCCTCAGAAGTCCATTTCCTCTGAGACCTTCTTTCTCAAGGCTCCCTGTAGAGCAACTGAAATTTCTGAGGAGAAAAAACCAGCATATTATTTCTTCTTCCTCCTCCTCCTCCTCCTCCTCCTCCTCCTCCTCCTCCTCCTCCTCCTCCTCCTCCTCCTCCTCTTCCTTTTTCTCCTGTTGAGCTACAATATGTCCTGGAGTTGAAAAGTAGGTAGTATTGAGAGGTTAGGAGAGTTTAATAAGATCCCAACTGCCCTGAACTTCCATGTCTAGGTCGGTGGAACCAAATAATTTTTTGACCTGCTTACTAGCCAGCTTTGGTTGATCGATCTCAGAAATCTAAGGAAGATTGACGTGATTAGCATTTGGAAGGGACATGATTCGAAATTTAGGAGATGCAGGCTAGACATGGAGGTCCCCCAAAGGTCTGTGAAGGTAGCCAGAGCAAACACCAGTGTGTTTGTGAATTCACCAGGAGTTGCACAATGCTCCAAGGAGACAACCTTCATTGATCCCAGCCCTGGATCTCCAGAAAAACGTAAGGGAGAAGCACACTTCCTTTGCCTAAGCTAAAATTGGAGCCCAACTTCAGATAAATGTTTTCTGTTTAAAGAGGTGAGGAGATTTGGATTAATTTCCCTTGGCAGACCTTGGTTTTGGTAAATACACAAACAGATCACAACTAGATCCTGCCAGCCTCAAGGGTGCCCACCCTTGGCTGACAGCTTCAGGATGCTGCAGATTATTCTTAGTTTTCTAGTGTGACTTTGAATCTGACCCATGTTGGCTTAGAAGCAAAATACAGAGGAATGTCTCAGGGGTAGGAGACTGTGGAGTCAAGAAGGCTGTGTCAAGACAAAGAGGAAACCCTGTGCCTAGTCTCAGGCCCAGACACGAAGATCTGAAGGAGATTGTGGCAGGGTGGCATTGCGACTCTCTAATTTATGTTATTGCTTGCTGCTAAAAACCTGTAAATCCTGAAAGGAATAAATGCAAGATGCAGTGGAAGTACAAACACACGCTGAACTCCAGCGACAACAGAGAAGGGCAAGTGTTGAGTTGAATCTAACCTGCTCAGCCAGATCGGCTGGTTCTCTGATGGCTTGCTTTGCCACCTTTTGGTAATTGGGTCCTGTCCACTCCTTGGAGAGTTTTTTGCCTGCTGAGTCCGTGATTGAGTTCTCTGTGGTCCGAAGAAGACCTGGGATTGTTCAGTGGCGTAAACAATAGCAGAGATGACATTGTTTTGGGGGAACGTATTAGATCACTGCTGGGGTGATGGGTGGCTTGCTGACCTCAGGAAGAGAAGGGCTGGTGCTCGCTTGCGGCTTTGGGAATGTCCTTGGAGCTTGTTGAACGAGATTAGCAATAGTAATGGCACTGACTTATAGACCGCTTCCCAGTGCTTTAGAGCCCTCTCTAAGCAGCATACAGAGTCAGCCTGGCTCCTCATTTTACAGACCTTGGAAGGATGGAAGGCTGAGTCAACCTTGAGCCGGTCAGGATCAAACTGTTGGCAGTCAGCAGAAGTAGCCTGCCATGCTGCCTTCTCACCACTGCGCCACCACAGCTCTTAGGACACGGTCTTAGTTGCTTTTCTGACGAGCTTTGGACTCTTGCTTTTGTAGACATAGGATGCTGGATCTGGTTCTGACATCTTGCAGGAGATGGTAGAGTCACGAGTTCCTCTTGCAGAGCTGTGGGAAGAAAGGAGTTGAGGAAGTTTTGTAGCTCCTTGGGAAAATACCATCCAGATATGGTGCGTGGGGAGGAATTCAGATCTAGGGAGCCACCGGTTTGTCCCACCCAGTTGGGATACATGTGAGCTGCATGGGAATTGTGCAAAGGTTGGCCAACAGTCAACGACACTCCCCAATTTCATCTCTGGCTCTACTTGCTCTCCTCCAAATGAGCAGGAAGCATTGAGGTGAAGGTCCTTGGTGAAGGAGAACAACCCCAACTGATTTTATGGTTGTAGAGTGTCTTCTGTTCCTCTTCTTTCCATGTTCTTTCATGCTTGTGTTGGGATTCATTTCTTCAAGGTGTCCCATTGTGTGTGTGTGTGTGTGAGAGAGAGAGAGAGAGTGTGTTTAAAGGGGGAGGAGAGCCTCCATCAGTTGAGGAAGGGGAGGTGTTGCTCACTTTGTCTGTCTCTTCCACCTTCCCCATTGATTCAACGGGGGGCAATTCTCAACTCGCCTTCTTGCCTTCAGGTGGTTGGAGATGCTGGTGGTCTACCCAAGGACAAACAAGCAGAATCAAAAGAAGAAAAGGAAAGTGGAGCCCCCAACGCCACAGGTAAAAATAAGAGCACACCTGGCCTGCTTCTGATGCGCCTCATGCCTAAAATTAGGACATTTTCCCCACCTCTGGTTTACAGGAACGCAGCCTTTTCAAGTTTCTCCTCTTCTCTAAATGGAGTTTTTGAAAACCCCACTCAGTTTACATGTAGCTTCCAGAAGCTGCTCTGCTTTCTCTCTCTACTTTGACCGGTTTTATTTATTGTGGAATATAAGTCAACACGGGATACCCAAAGGTGCTTTTTCAAGCGGCAACCGGACCTTGTTTTTCCTTTGGCTTCTCATCCAAGAAGCTTCCTCAGTTCTGACTGTCAGAATGTCAGAACTGAAGAAGCTCCTTGGATGGGAAGCAAAACGTCTTCAGGGAAAAACCAAGTCCAGTTGCCTCTTGACAAAACACCCTTGGGACAATGGTAACCTGGAGGACTGAGAATCTTCATAGGTATTCAGCCTAGGACAAAAGTTTGCTCGATGATTGTTGATAAACATCACTCCGCAGCGCATCTCCTAACTGATCAACTGACAATTTTCAATCCCTTGTTTGAAGCTGCAGGCCAGAAAAGATTCCTTATCACTGACATGGAGTTACATGGCCTCACGCTCTGTTTTTTTCCACCAGAGATGGCCCTTGGAGATACGATCGAGATGTGGTAGATGAGATGGAGGCTGAATGTGTCCTCTGGGGATCTGGCGACAGCTTATTTCTAGCCCTCTTTTGACTATAAATGGTAAAACACACACACACACACACACACACAGAGGCACAGAATCTAGGGTATGACTCATTCTTTCCTGCGCAAATGTCCTACATGGAAATTGTTCAGGAGAATCTCGGAGGGTTAAAGATCTTGACCAACTTTCTCTGGACGTAGCTGCTGGTCCCAGATACATGGGGTGATGCTTTGATCAAGGTCCTCATCCCGAGCCATTTAACGAACATTATCTGCTCCATGTGACAGAAGCTGTGCAGATATTTCCTTGTCGAACTAAACGGATTGGATGCTCTTCGTGATGAATAGTTCTGTGGTTTCTCCCAAGCTTCTGTGGTATAACCTTCGGGTGAAACCAGTTGACTCAACATCGTAGAGAATGGGATCCTTGGGAGTTCAGTTCGAAGGTCTTTGTGGATGATTGTGGGAACAACCCATCATACAGAGAAAACAAGGTTACATTAATTTGGAAGTTGTGTGTTGTGCTTGACTGCACTCTTGTTTGAATATTTCTCCACCTTTAATCTGCATTGTGAGATCCTGAATGGGGAATTTGATCAAGGATTTGCCATAAGTTTCATAACCACTGGGTAACATCCTCAGTGGGAGAGGTTTGCCAACACTCCCTTCTAGCCCTGATGGTGCTCCCTAGTTGGGTCATGAAACTTCTGCAAGAAAACCACCAAGCCTCAGAGAGCACCACATTAAAACTCAATATTGTATTTAACATGCTTAGCATTTATTGAATACAACGTCCAAAATCTGCTGAAATAGCTTTGGCCCACACCAATGTTGCTTTGAGCGAGAAGCAAGCAATGGAATCTAGAGTGTAGGGTCCTAGCTTGGGTGTGTAAGTGTCCTGAGGTCCTTCACGGGGGGGAGGGGAAGTGAGATGGAGAGGGGTCCCCAAAATTCACTCTAGGTAGCAGCTAGTCCCCTTGCCTGTTCCTCTGTGACTCCTGTCAGCTGAGCTCAACCCACACAAGCATAGAGTAAGAAGCAAAGCAGTCTTAGATGGGGTGAGCCCCTCCCCCAGAGCTCTTCCTATTTTAGTCTCCCCTTCTCCCCCCCTTTTTTTTTTAATTTTTGGAAGCAGAACAGAAAAGAGAAGGGGAAAAATGTTGGCAGAATATTATCTCTCTCTCTCTCTCTTTTGGGGTTATGCTTGGTTGCCTCAGCAACCTCTTGGAAAGTTGACAGGATCTGCGCTTCTAAGCACCAAATAAGGGTAGTAGGGTTGGGTGGGGGAGAGAGACACACTGAAAAGGGGGGGGGCTCTTCTCCCCCCCCCAAATGGACCGCCTCCGGAGATGGAGGTGAGTTTCAGGGAGGCAGAACACGGCACAACCACGTGATCTGGTGGAGTTTTGTGGAGCAGCCCGAGATGGAGCAGGCCTGCTGGGTGCCTCAGGGAAAAATCCTGAAGAAGGTCTATGTTACTTCCAAAAAAGGAATGCTGGGGTGGAAAAAAAGGAAGCTTGTGCTATGTAATCTCTCCATTTCTGCTCTCAGCTCTCGTGTTGTTAAGGGAGGGCAAAAGTAATCCAGGAGAGTTGGAAGAGGTTGAATTGAGTTGAGTCCTGGAGGAAAACCTTCTCTTCAAGAATGGGATATTATTCTTGGTGGTGAGCTGGTCAACGTGACCTCCAAAAGCCACCTTAGATGGGATACACAACTCTTCTTCCTCTGTCACCCTCTGGCGTGATTCCCTCTGGCACTCTGATGAAAGTGATGAAAGCACTTAGTTCCTACTTCTTCTACAGCTAGTCCTCAAGACACAACGAGCCAGGGGTTTGCTGTGGGTGCAGCTTTGCCAAAAACCGGAAGGGAGCACTGATTTTCAGCAAGACTGCCTGAAGTCCGCTGATTTGACTTTTCTTGAGCTGCAATTCGGCTGGCTTTGCGTTGGACTTGAACAGGGGAGCGATATCGCCCGTTCTTTGTGAAGACTACATTTCCAGAAAAAGTACCAGAATAAAAAAATAGCAGAGGTGGAAGGGACCCTGAAGGTCTACTAGTCCAACCCCCAATTCAAACAGTCCCTATACCTTCGCTACCAACTGTCCACTTATCCCAAGTCAACTTGAGGTCTCCAAGATTCAGGGTCCATCTTGTTTTCTAAATTGTAGCCTTTTTCCACATCATTTGCCAGGATGGTTCTGGCCACCCCACCTAAAGGTTGCCAATCCAAGTTATTGCTGAGGGAGAGATGGGAAGTATCAACTGGGGAATTCTGGGAGTTGGAAGTCCACGTATCTTAAAATTACCAAGTTGGAAAAAAAAATACCGATTTAGGAAGAAGGAGGCGTGTTTGGTTTTTGCACCCAAACTAATTTGAATTGCAAACCCTTCTTGGAAACTAGCTTCCATGCTGGGTGCAGAGTGGCAAATTTAATTTTTGAAAACATTTGCACCTTCGTTGCAATGCAGAGTGCCCGGGGCCGTCTCTGCAGGATGAATGGAAAGGCACTTTTCAAACGGCCCAACGGGTATCGGGTGTGGAGGCGATGCGAACTGTGGGAATAGCTGGAATGGTAAAAACCGGGGCCCGTAAATGCTGAACGGTGTAAAAAGAGAACCTGGAGAGGCACGTCGTTGTGAGTGTTTTGTTTTTGCGCTGCTGCTATGAAAAATGCAACTCTGTGCATTCCTTCCCTCGTTTAGGCCCAGTGCCTAAGGTTGCGGTGGGTCAGTGTTGGCCTTTATAATCCTCGACTTGCAAACATTTGTTTAGTGACCGCTCGAAGTTACAACAACACTGAAAAAAGTGACTTATGACCGGTTCTCTTACTTGTGACTATTGCGGCACCTCCGTGTCATCAAGATTTGAGCGCTTGGCAACCTGACATTTATGATGGTTGCAGCCTCCCAGTGTCACCTGATCTCCAGTTGCAACCTTCTGACAAGCAGAGTCAATGCGGGGAAGTTGGATTTATTTAGCGACCGTGTGATCCAGTTAATAACCGAAGTGTTTTGCTTAACAACCAGGGCAAAAAAAAAAGTTGTCAAATCAGGCGTCAGACTCACTTATCACTTGCCTCAGTAACAGTCATAGCTAGACGGGAAGTCTATATTTGATAGCCATGCAGCATGACCTAGAACAGTGATGGTGAACCTTTTTGTTGTGGTGTGCCGAAAGTACGCTTGACGGCACCTGCAATGCAATGTGCCCCGCCCCCGCTGTGCATGAGTGTGTAACACCCCCGCCCCCTTACCTCCACGATGCACGCGCTCACTTCCCAGCTAATTTTCGGCCTGTTTGAGGCCATTTTCGCCCTCCTGGAGGCTCAAGGAAAGCCTCTGCAGCCTCGGGAGGCTGAGAAATGGGTCCGTTTTGGCACTTCGGCTCGTTTTTCGACCTCCCAAGGCTGCGGAGGCTTCCCTCGAGCCTCCAGGAGGGCGAAAATGGCCTCAAACAGGCTGAAAATCAGCTGGAAGGCACACACATGTGCAGTGCAGGTAACTTTGGCTGGGCCTCATGTGCCCACACAAATGGCTCTGTGTGCCACCTGTGGCACGCGCCCCATAGGTTCGCCATCACGGGCCTAGAAAAACTTAGGACTCAGCGGTGGACATATGCTGGGAGAGCATGAATGTTGTGTGGCTTATCTGGGCTGGTGTGAGACACAAAACACAAGCTATTGCAACTGGGGTGGCCCACCAATGTCTTCTTCTGCAGGAGCCTGGTCCAGCAAAGATGGCCGTGACCAGCAGCAGCAGCATCCCCGGCGCTGAGAAGATCCCAACCACCAAGTCCACCCTTTGGCAAGAAGAACTGAGAAGCAAAGACCAGTTGGATGGGAATGTGGGCATCGGCTCGGCCCCTGGCCCTTTGCCAGGGCAGGCACCCCCAGCCTGTTCCCTGAAGGACTCACTCCTGGAGAGCAAAGAAGGTAAGGATGGAAGTCCTGAACGTTGGTCAAACCAGAGTAAAGGTCTAGGGTAGAAGATCTGTTAATCCTAAGTTGTATTAACAGAGGGATGCAATCGAGATCAAGAGAGGTACTAAGACCACTCCATAAAGCCTTAGTAAGACCACACCTAGAGTATTGCATCCAGTTTTGGTCACCACACTATAAAAAAAATGTTGAGACTCTAGAAAAAGTACAGAGAAGAGCCACCAGGATGATGTTTAGGGGACTGGAGGCTGAAACATATGAAGAACGGTTGCAGGAACTTGGGCTTGACTAGTCTAGGGAAGAGAAGGACTTTAGTCCAGTGTCTTTTAGCTTCACCTCTCTTCTCTTCCATGCTTTCCTCGTCCTCCAGATGAGGCTGCCATGAACGGTGACCGCAACGACTGCGGGAGGAAGACGCGGGTAGAAAGTGGCTACTTTTCCTTGGAGAAGACCAAGCAGGAGGTCAAAGCAGAGGAACACCAGATGCTGAACCTGCCGTCTCCGCCGAGCCCCTGCACGCCCAACCACAGGTACAGTGATCTCAAATCTCAGCAGCCGAGCGATTCCTTCCCTTCTTCAGGTACCTGGCCAGCCGGCCGAATGGTGCACAGCTTCTCTCTCAATTCCCTGGACGTCCGAGGCCTCCGGCTCTGCAAGCACAAGGACTCCGGCAGCCGCAACGGGACGAGGACGGAGGAGAGGCGCAACGGCCCCATGGCCTTTAAAGTCAGCCGCAAATACTCCACCCTGGCCGATGTGCCCAAGGCGATCCGCATCAGTAACCGCGATGCTTTTCAAGTCGAGCGGAAGCGGCTGGAGCGGAGCTCCCGGGCGAGGAGTCCTGGGCGAGAAGAGGTAGCTCGGCTGTTTGGGAATGAGAGGAGGTAAGACCCGAATCTGGGAAATGGCTTTTCGGCTGGCGGAGGATTAAAAACTGTCTTGTGGAAAAGGGAGGTTTTGCTCAACAAGACGGGATGGCTGGATTGGGTTTTGTACCCACCAACAGGCAGTCCTCGAGTTACAACTACAACTGAGCCCAAAATTTCAGTTGCTAAGCAGGACAGTTGTCGAGGGACTTTTGACCCGTTTTGCGGCCTTTCTTCCCACCGTTGGTAAGCGAATCGCTGCCGTTGTTCAGTTGGTCACAACGATGGTTAAGCGAATCTGGTTTGTCCAATGCCTTGGCTTGTCAGAAGGTCGCAAAAGGGGATCATGTGATCCCAGGACATAACCGTCATAAATGTGAGTAAGTCACCAATGGTCTGGATTTTAATCGTGGGAGGGAAACGGGAGCATGCACAGACAGGCCCTCCAACAGGACGGTGGCCCAGAAGGTCAAACCTGTGAAAGCTTAGCATGGCTTGTGCTTTGCCCCGCTGTTCCACCTAATCTTAAACAGCTTGCACCAAATCCTGGCGCATTGCTCCTTTGCAAGCTTGGATGGAAGACAGAAAATGTTTGCTGGGCACCTGAGTTCCAACCATCCAATAAATGGTTTTATTGCCTTAATAAAAACTCCACCCCTTCCCTGCATCTCTTTTGGGGACCAAACAATCCATCTGCCTTTGCTTTTTTATGAACCAAGAAAGTTTTGCCAGTCGGAAATGTTTTGACGCTCTCCCTAGCAAGCAGCTGTACGAAAACAGTCCAAAAAAGAAGAAAGCCAGGCACGGGACACACCTGTTTAGGACAGACGCAGCCTCCCTTTTTGGAAATGAGCCATGTAGGGCAAAGTTTATTTCTTTATTTATAAAATTTATTTCCTGCTGATCTCATATCTGGGAGGCTGAGAACATAAACACTGGGGGGGAAAACATTAAAATAATCCTTATAAAAACACAGCAGATAAAAGCATGATCTGAAAGCGCAAAGTAAGACACTTTATTCTGTTTCCCCACTTTAGCCATTTTTAAATTTCACCCTGTTTGTTTTAAATTTGTTTGTCAGCTAACTGAGGAATAGTAATACTGGGTTGATTATTAGCAAAATATTCCACAGGGAATACAACACAATTCTGTCACGGGCATCCAGATCTTTCCCTAGGTCACTAAAAGCCCCCTTGCGTTATTCTGACCCTTGTCCTGGTTTCTAAAACACAACCCGCTGCTACCACAGGTATGCATTATGGACTTGCCTTCATGAGGCCTAGAAACTTGCTGCAGGAAGGAAGTTGCCATGCACATTTGAGATAATAAGTGCCTGGCACCTGATGTGTGCAATTCCCCTTTGGAGGATTTGTTGTATATTCATAGAAATTCATAAGAAGCTGCTTGGAAAAGGAGGCAGAATATGCAGATTGGAGGCTTGTGAGCATATGGCTTCCCAAGAATTAAAAAAGAATTTTTCTCCAGTTGCTTTCTAAACCTCCACCGGTTCTTGCTTGCTCGTAGCAGATGTCGCTCTCACCAACTCAAGAACAGTTCTTGTTCTTTTTTTCCAGAATTGGCTAGCAAGAAGCCCGCAAAGGGGCTATGAAAGAGATTCCGCCCCTCACCAGCTTGCTTTCAGGGGTTCCTGATGGTCGATGAAGCTTGTTTGTAGCCTCCAGGGGGGCTTCACACACACCTTTGTTGCCCTGCTGCATAAATAAACCCCCTGCTATTAAATGAACATTTTCCTGCCTTCCTGCCAGTCTCCATCCGTTGCTTTGGGCTGCTTTAGTTAACTCATTTCTCTGATTGCTTCATTAACATTCTTGTCCATCCTTGAGTGGAGTTTGTTGTCTGAGAACAAAGCAAGCTCTGTAACCAGCATTGGCACGTCTGGTTTCCCTATAATCCTAGATTCTGAAGGGCACCTGATGTAAAAGTTGAAGTAGAATACAGAATACGAGAGCTGGAAAGGGGCCTGGGAGGTCTTATAGTCCAACCCACCCTTGCTCAGGCAGGAAACCCTGTAGCATTTCAGACAGATCCACCCCTTGAGATCATCTTGATCTCAAAATTCTTAATTCCAATGGATCTTCCAACGATACTCACAAAATCCAATGGATCCACACCCTTTCTTGTCACTCTCATTCTTTGTTCCTGTCCTGAACTCTTTTCAGTCTACCAGTTTATTCCAGGCCATCAGGGATGAAGCGCAACCCAAAACTGCAGTTTTCCAACTCTGTGTGTGTGTGTGTGTGTGTTTTAAAGGCCAGAGAAACAAGACCTTCTAAGCAATTTAATAAGGGTGCCTTGCCCAGGACTATTAATAGCAAAAAGGTTTTGCAAAAGTTGGCCTCCTGGTTGAAGAGATGTTAGATTATCTGGAGCTGCAGCTAACTTTGCTGCCACGTGAGCCGAAATGTGTCTCAGCTTCCATCGCAGAGTTAAAGTGTTTCCTCAAGGATGGAAGCTTAGAAAAATCTACATTTTTATACAGCTGGTTCTTGACTTACAACCCGCCATTGGCTCCACAATTTCCATTGCTAAGCAAGGCGGTTTTTAAGAGAGTCATGCCTGATTTTTACAACCTTCTTGGTTGTTAAGTCAACGAGTGCCATTGTTAAGTGAATCATACGGTCATTAAGCAAACCCAGCTCCCCCCCCCCCAATGGTGTTTGCTTGTTGGAAACATCTGGGAAGGACACGAATGGCAATCACACGATCTCCAGACCTTGGTCGTAAGTGTGGGGACTCATTCTAAGTTGCTTTTTTCAATGACTTCGTAACTTTGAATGATCTCTAAATGATTGGTTATAAGTCAAGGATTATCTGCATCGGTCTTCCTTAGTTTTCTACCCCGGTCAAAAGCTGGATTCTAAAAGTTTATTGTATTTATTTATTTGATTTGCCAATCACTTACAAGATAATAGGAATAAGTATAAACATGAGTAAGAATACAGGAAATAGGTACGAATAAATGGGGACAATAGGACAGGGACGGTAGGCACGATGGTGCGCTTATGCACGCCCCTTACAGACCTCTTAGGAATGGGGTCAATAGTGGATACTTTAAGGTTAAAGGAGTGGGGGTTAGAGGATGTGACTACAGAGTCAGGTAGCGTATTACAGGTGTTGACGCTCTGTGGCTGAAGTCTTCCTGCAATCGAGTTTGGGGCAGTTTACCTTGAGTTTGTATCTGTTGTGTTGCTCTTGTATTGTTGTGGTTGAAGCTGAAGTAGTCATTGACTGGTAGGACATTGTAGCAGATAATTTTCTGTACTACGCTTAAGTCCAACGACAGTGTAGTTCTAGGTTGTCCAAGCCCCAAATTTCAAGACTATGCTATTATTTTGAAGCTCTTGGCCGGGATTCCCGGTCATACACAGTCCACGACGGATTTGAAATTCCACCACTTGAGTATACTGTAAACAAGCGTGTCTCCCTTCTTGAAAAGCAGTTGCTCAAGACTTGTGCCCCGTGAAACATTTAAAAATATTTGGATTGTAGTTTGAAGTATAGATCAGCTATGATGCTGGAGATGGACTGGACGTATTTACATTTACGCGCGAGGGTTTCGTAAAACCCCGGGAAAAGCATTTTTACGATGAGGCTGGGAATTCCTTTAACCATTTGCCTAAGCGAGTCCTCAGAACGTTGATTAGGGGTTTATTTGTGTCTGTGAAACTAGACTGAATCCGGTTTAAATAGGAGCAAATCCCAGATTCCCCAGGATGAGAAAGATTAAACCAAAAGGATAGTTCACGGCAGCTGTGCCCATCCCCAAAACATGTCTTTTTAGCAAATGTGTTTTTTTTTCTAATTCTGGGACATAAAAACACTCAATTGTTCATTTAATTTCACACTTTGGTAGCCTCCAAAAAGACTCCTGGCTTTCTAAGGCTTTGGAGAGAACTTATAGGTTTTGTGGAAGAGTTTGCCCAACATTCTTTAACTCATGAATTAACCTGTGGCATTTTGCACCTCTGTGCATGAATCAAACATCTTGAAACTCCAAATACAGCTAACCCTTTCTTAGCAGCCATTTAGAAGTTACAACAGACCCCTAAGAAGCTACTTGTGAGCCAGCTCCAGAGTTCTGATGGCTCCATGACCTCATTTCGAGTTCTTTGCAATTGGCTCACCTTTACAGGTGAGGGCCCAGTCATGTGGGTGCCTCCTTGGCTTATGACCTTCATGACTATGATGGAAATTCCAGGCTCTATCAGTCCTAAGTTGAGGACTGCCTGATCTGCGTGGAGAGTTTGACCATCACAACTGAGTGTAAAAACTTGGCTTCAACCACAAAGCCTGTGTGGTTGTTGCAGCCAATTATGGACATACTTCTAGTTCTCATTGACCGGTCGGTACAAGTAATTTTCAGTTTAACCAACCATTCAAAGTTACAACCGCTGCAGATACGGTCGTAAGATTGGACACAGTCATGTGGTGACCCTCTTAACGACTGGCGTGATTTAGAATGGAAATTCCAGGCTCAATTACTGTCGTAAGTCGAGAACTGCCTACTGTGTGTTGTAAAATTTTTCCTTGCTAGCCTTGTGGTCACGTAGGGAGAATGGGTGTGTTGAAAATACAAAACCAGAAATTCCATCAGTAAGATTGTACATAACTCCCTGGTCCCAGCATACTTGCACCACTGAAACTAAAGCATGCTATTAACAAACTTTTTTTTTTCGTTTGTGGTAATTGAGTCTTTGTATATTTATTCATGCATTCCATCCATTCATTCATTATTCATCAAATTTATACGTCCGTCCATCTCATGAAAAAAATACCTCTGGGTGGCACTGAACACTTCTCTCTGAATGGAGTTTGCATAAAAACATCCCTTTGATCTCCTTGTTGATTTTCCATCCTCATTTCCATCTTCCTGCTTTGTAACAGATCAAAGAAAGGAAACATTGACAATGGAAAGCAAATTGTTTTTAATCATGATTTTTCCTTTCCGGTTCTTAACTCCTCCTTTCACTGAGATACCTTAATCATTTTAGAGCAATATAGAATAGAATATAATACTTCATTGGCCAAGTGTGATTGGACACACAAGGAATTTGTCTTGGTGTAAATACTCTCAGCATATATAAAGAAAAGGTACATTCGTTAAGAATCAAGAATCATAACATACAACTCTTAATGATAGTCACAGGGTACAAACAACAATCAAATCATACTAGGAAACAGTCAATATAAATCGTACGGATACAAGCAACAAAGTTACAGTCCTACAATCACAAGTGGGAGGGGATGGGTGATAAGGATGAGAAAATTAACAGTAATAGTAGTGTACACTTTGTAAATAGGGTATCTAACCTGGGAAACTTCAACTCCCAGAATTCCCCAGCCAGCATGGAATTCTGGGAGTTGAAGTCCACAAGTCTTAACTTTTTAGAGCACGGCTCATTGCTGCAAACCAACATCAAAGAGAAACAACAGCATCTTATCACTTCCACCTACCCAAACAACTGTTTTGCTTCCGAACTAAAATTGCAACTGGATCAGTAGCGCAGCTTCCCCTCCAGAAGTTGTGGGTACTCAAAACACAGGAGGTTCGTAAGATGAGATTGGAGAGTCACTTGTCTGGAATGGTCTCCTGATTGAGCAGGGGGTGAGGCTAGAAGACCTCCAAGGCCCCCTTCCATCTCTGTTATTCTTGCCACTGTCTTTCCCTTGATACCTCCTGCTACTCCTGGAAGGAATCACAATCTGCCGTTTCCAATGATCACGTCTATTAACGGTGTGGATGATTTTGCACTTTGGTCTTGGTTTCCTTTTTTTAATGCCTCTGATTTGTGGGGCCGGGTGGGGAGGAGGGCAAGGGGAGGAAGGGCGGGATAACTTTTTTTTTGGTTCATTCATTGTCCAGCTTTTATTTTCTTGCAGGTCTTCTGTTCTTCACCTCCCTCTGCTGTGTGATAACTTGTGCTCCACTGCTTCGCTCCCATCTCATCTCAAAAAAAAATTCTCAAGCTGTAGACAACTTGATGGTGCCCTTCCCTTTTCATGACAATCAAGCTGCTTTTTTACTTTATTTTATTTTTTTTGGTGGGGTGGGGGTGGGGGGGTTGGCTTGGAAAGAAAGCAGACCCGTGGGCTGAGCCAGATGGGAAATGGTGGCCGAGAACGTTCCCTTCCCCAAAGGGAGAAGCCAAGATGGGTCTTGGCAAGGAAGCCAAGCGATGGCCGCCGGTTATTAAATCATGGCGAGGGTCCGAGGGCAGACGGTTCGGGCAGGGGTCCCGAAGGGTGTTTTAATTAGGATAATGATGATGATGAGGATGATTTTTTGCCTTCTCTGGTCAAGGGCCATGGGTGCTGGGGGCTCTCACTGCCGGAGGCATCTTGGTGGGGGTGCGCTTAGTGCTTTTCCTGTTTGCATGTGGCATGTGGTGATTGGGATTCTGCCTTGAAGGGAAGCTGCACCCGGCCTCCAGGGCTTGGAAGACACTTGTAGTTCAACAGGTTTAGCTTTATTAGGCAGCCGTGTGAAAACGAATCGAGTACCTTCCCAATCCAGAGTCTCTTAAAACTGATGGTTTCTTATATACGCTGGGGCACAGATGCTGTTCCCCGTGCTAAATGTAACTTTGATTTTATAGTTATTTTATTTTATATTAATTTATTTTAACTTATTACTTTGTTACTTTACGTTACTTCATTTCACTTTATTACTTTATTTCACTTCACTTTATTAGTTCATTTCTCTTCTCTTCATTTTATTATTTTATTATTTTATTTTTTACTATGCTGCCTGTCATCCCTACAAGGTGACTTTGGGCAGCTTGATAGAACTAAACCAGAACAGAAGTCCTCGTTTGACAACAGACCTCTCCATGGGCTACCTGGATTTGAACTTCCAATAGGATTTTTAAAATGCCCTTCTCCGTTTTTGCGGATGCAGAGCTTGAAATCGATTTGGTTTTAGCTCTTTTCTTTCTCTTCCATGTTTAAAGTCCAGGTGGACCAATGTTGATGTTGGTTCATAGGCAAACCAAGACTATGTACGACTTCGTTTAGCGTTTTTTTTTTTCTAAATATTAAAGTGTAACTCTTGACTTGTGAAGCTTAGCACTGAATTATTTTCATTAAGTAGCTGCTCTGCAATGGCATTCATGCCATAAATGCCCAGAATGAGTTATAGATTTGAGCTTGCTGCCTTAAATCTGCAAGAAAACTCAAAGAGATCATGCTGTTGATCCCATTTTCTGGGGAAGTTTTTGATGATGTGATCCCTGTGCTTCACCAAAAGATCACACTGTCACACAATTGTGCCTTTAAAAGGGCTGGGGGGCGGGAAATAACATATTTGCAAGCTTTAAAAATCCAAATGCTCCATGCTTCCTGCTGAATGAAACGGAGTCTGTGCAATAGGACAGGATAGAAATATAGCAGAGGAAAGCATCATTATGTCAATACGTTGAATGTGTTGTCTGGATAAGAGGGAGGGCTGAGGTGGTTCTGACTTTCAAGGGTGGCCTCTCTTTCCCTTTTGTTAAAATGCCCACCCCTTCTCTCTTCCCTGTCTCTCAGGAGGTCCCAAGTAATTGAAAAATTTGAAGCATTGGACATTGAGAATCCGGAACACATGGAAATCAACGCTTCCTCCGGTCTCTCCAGCGAAACCCGGCAGGGCAGGAGTGAAAAAAGGGTTTTCCCTAGGAAACAGGTGAGTCAGCAGCAGTTTCATGTTCTTGGTATGAAGGGTGAGATTTGTAGTGTTTATCAACCTTTGCAACTTTAAGAAGCATGGAGTTCAAATTCCAGAATTCCCCAGCCAGTAGGACAATGACCGTGACCATCTATCACTACCAATTCCTTTGGAGAATTCCTGTCCAGAATTAAGAACGTAACTGGTGTCCTTGAAGTATGAGAGATCACAGTTGACCCCTTGAGCCCCTTGAACTGTCAACCCACAGTTGACCCCTTGACCCCTTCATTATTAATCAAAATTGCATTTCTAAATCTGATGACCATGAAACACTCATATTTCCTGCAGGATTTGCTTGCTGAAACAGCAAGCGGGACCATCGTGGATGTGTCAACTTCTACTATGTCTCCACATCGGAGAGCGAAATCGCTGGACCGAAGGTCTACAGAATCCTCCATGACTGTAAGTTCAACTATTGGGGGATTCTGAATAACAGAAGAACAGAGTGAGAAGGGACCCTTGGAGGTCTTCTAGTCCAACCCCCTGCTCAGGCAAGGAACCCTATACCATTTCAGAGAAATGGTTGTCCGGTCTCTTCTTATAAACCTCCAGTGACGAAGCACCCACAGCTTCTGGAGGCAAGTTGTTCCACTGATCAGTTGCTCTAATTGTCAGGAAATTTCTCCCTAGTTCTAGGTTAGATCTCTCCTTACTTAGTTTCCATCCGTTGCTTCTTGTCCTGCATTCAGGTGTTTTGGAGAGTAGGTCCACATACACCCTCCTCTTTGTGGCAGCCTTTCAAATACTGGAACACTGCTATCGTGTCACTCCTGGTCCTTCCTTTCATTGAACTATTCCAGCAACCATTCTTTATCTGCTTTAGCCTCCAGTTATGAGTTGACTACCTTGAGTAAAAGATAGCCCCTTTCTTGAAGGAAGGTTGCGTTCAAAGAAGGAAGCCGAATTCTTCAGAAAAAAAAGGATTTCTTTTATATATTATATGTAATCTCAGTTGAGATATGATGCTAAATTCTCTTCCGTCCTTTGTAGCCGGATTTGCTGAACTTCAAAAAGGGATGGCTGACAAAACAGGATGAAGATGGGCAGGTAAGTTTTGGGGTGCTGTTTTCCTGGGTAAAACCACAGTAGATGGTGTTTCACCTTGGAGATAGTAAACCTTGAAAACTGATCTAAATTTTCAAACTTGGAGCTATTTCTGCCCAGTCTTAGCATAACGTTGGCAGAATTCTGCCCAGTATGATGATCCCACCCACCCGTCCCTTCCTACTTCTTTAAGAAACCAGTTTTCCCATGTCTAGAAAATGGCTTGTCTTGTTTCTTTTGTAGTGGAAGAAGCACTGGTTTGTGCTGACGGATCAGAGCCTGAGATACTACCGGGATTCAGTGGCAGAGGAGGTAGGTTGAGGCAGAGACCAAAAACTAGACCTTGGTGGACACTTTCGGATGTTCACACCACCTGTTTCTTTCTCTCCCACAACCTCCTTAGACTCCAGTTTGATTCTGCAGGCAGAGAGGATTCCATCTTACATTTTGTGACAATGCTGTATAAAGAAATAAGTTATTATTATACCTTTTTCACCATTGACCTATACGTTGTCCTCTTAAGCATTTCTTCTCTTTTTCTCAGGCAGCCGATTTGGATGGGGAAATTGACTTGTCAGCGTGTTTTGATGTCACGGAATACTCCGTCCAGCGAAACTATGGTTTCCAGATTCATGTAAGACATGGTCAGACTATACATAGAAATGGTAGACATCTTCTAAATATGGATCTTGAGCCCATCCCTTGTACAAAGGGATTATAGATGATGAGATAGGTGGCCGTATAAGTCCTGTAAATTAATTAACAGGGCTGAGTTGGTTTTCTTTGTTGCAGTTTTTGTTATGAGACCCAATTTATAGATGAGTAAGTTCCTCAGGCTGTGAAGGTCCCACCTCCTTCACAAAGTGTCCTAAGGTTAAGAGGGAAAATCCTCTTAATGGTCCAAATCCCTTCGACCACCAATGATCCATCTGGAGAACCATTCAATATATGGTCTACTACTATCTGAAGTTGGGTGATTATTTCTTGGAAAGCAGAACCAGAAAAGAACCTGTTCTTTCTGTTACTTCTGAAAACTCACTTGAGAAGCTACCTTAGAAAGGTGGAAAGTCCCAGCAGGAGATTCCTCCCAGAAAATTCCTCCCAGAAACATCTGTCCTAGAGAGAGGCTCAACCATCAATTCTTTCTCTTCTTTCCTAGACTAAAGAAGGCAGATTTATTCTTTCTGCTATGACATCTGGAATCCGCCGGAACTGGATCCAAACAATCATGAAACATGTTCGTCCCACAGTCGCTCCAGATGTGACCAGGTAAAAAAACATGAGAAATAAGAACGTTTGGTCTTCTTTCCTGACTATCTTCATCACACTTCTCCACAAATCCATTTACTTCTGATTTCTCTCTCCTCCACTTTCTGAAAATTATTTTCTGAGACTGGTTTTCTAGAGTTTGATTTTTGCACAGTTTAGTAAGGACCCCCCTTGTTGACTGATTTATCTTTCCACCTCTTTTTAAACATGTGGAGCGATGGGAGAAGCTAAGTTGGAGGAACTGAGAGGAACCTTGGTTTGAACACTTGTTCAGTTATAGAGCTCAGGGCACCATATCAACCTGGTTGCTTTTCACATGAATGAGCTTTAGTGCACCAAACATAAATGTAATTAACGGCACTTCAGGCAGTTTCAACTTCAGGGTAATTCTTGCATGAATGTTAATTTGCAGTTAAGGTGCATCATCTTCCAGTTAGGACCTTTCCTTCCCCTTAGATAAAGAGAATATGTTGTCACTAAGCATGACTCTACAGTAGGTCCCACCTTGCTTGATCTACAGTAGATCCAACCTGGAGGTCCTTCAAGAAAATTAAACCCTTCTCAAGTTAAAACCCTTGGTTTGACAGGGCTTCGTCTGGCTTCAAATGTGGTAGCAAGATCTTCCTTTTCTATGTTGTTATTTGTTTGTGTAAAAGGAAGAGTAAGCACCACAGCGAGAAGTGTATCTATGATGTAGTTGCGAAGCATGGAATATTGCTTTAAAGAAGGATTTCTCAACTCTGGCAACTTTTAAGATGTGTATGCTGTCTGAGAAATTCTGGGAGTTGAAGTCCACCATCTTCAAGTATAGTGGCTGGGGAATTCTGGGAGTTCACATGTCTTAAAATTGTCGGGGTTAAGAAACCCTGGTTTAAAGTGGTGTGTGAACAGACATAAGGACCTGGGAGGAGCCAGCTCAGCCCAGAATTGCTTTCCTTCTTCTCTGTCCATCCTCCATTCTGTCTTTCCACGCTTCTCTCCCCCTCTCCTCCCAGTCGCTCTTGCCTCACTCCTTCATATGTTTAATTTCCACGCACTCGTAGGAAAAGCTTCTCTTTGAAGTTATCCGTGCTGAAGCCAAGGTTGGAAAACTGTGTTCTCTCCTGTATTAACGTTTTGTGGTTTGTATACTTCGTGATCCACTGCATGTTCCTCTTTCTTTGCTGCACTTGTCTGGATTAGAAATTCCTGCTTATTTTGCTCCGACAACCAAGGAGGAAGGAGGGGAAGTGAGGATGGCGGGATTTTGTTGCGGAATTTGCTTTACATGGTGTCACTTACTGGCCTTGCCAAGCAGGCCTTCTTGGAAATGCAGCTGAAGGACCTTCTCTTGGAGGGGCCACAGCTAATCCTAGAGCCAGAACTTCAAATAGGTCAGAAGTTTTTTAGTGAGAGTTTGTAGGATCCTTTGCAACATTTCTTTGCTCGGTAGGTATCCGTACAACCAGAGATTTCCCCAACCAGAGTAGTAAACAAATGCTTCTTTGTTCTCTAAATTACAAAGTGGGTACATGAATAGAGGAACCTCTAGCCATGCCACTAGTTTTTTTAAGCCAGATACTCAAATCCCATCACTAGGCATATCTGAAATTACTTCCTGGCACAGGGGTCATGTGAAAATGAAGTACCATCAGAAGAGAATCTATGAGTGTATGGTTGAATTCGGGAATCCTTGCTGCTCTCTGAGCTTGATTATCTACTTGGAGATAATTTCATTGTCATAGTCCCAACTATGGAACACCATCAGTTTGAGTTGAGGGTAGGGTCAGTATTTTGTAAACGTTGGATAGTTTTGTCGCAGGATTTAGATTGAGTCATTGTTGTGCAGATGAGGAAGACTGAATTGGGCAAAAGGTATGCTCCAGAAGAGCAGTCAGTGGTCTTCTAGTGATCTGCCTGAGAATGAAGCCAGACTTTCCTTTGCATCCTAAGAAAGAAATATTAAAATTAAATATACATTGATATATCAGGTAATTGGAATAGTTTTTGCAGAGGAAAGATATCCTTGGGTGCTGAAAATAAATAGACAAACGAAGAGAGTAATTCCAGAGTATAATCCTTTGAGACCATGCCTTGAAAAGATGACATGGAGAATCTACACAAGTCAACCCCAATGAGTCATTCTGACATTCCTCACCAACTTGGTGGTCTGTTCCCATATTTTTTCTGCTCTATTAATGTTGAAAATCAACATGTAATTCTTCTTCATGAAGGAAATTTGCATTTGATTGTAACTGCTGTCTGTAGAACTAAATCTACTTTGACCTGAGTTGGGCTACCATTGCCAACTTGTCAAGTTTCAATCCCAATCAAACGTCAATAGATGATGATAAAAATAACTAGCTTGATTCTTTTGCATTTGCAACTGGTGTGCCAGGAACCTTTTTCTACGTGGAGATTAGATAATTCCTAGAGTCAATGCCATAAAACAGATTTTAAGAAGCTTCCACGTTGATAGCTAGATGTTGATGGCTCATCTTAGAGAGCCAACTAAAGTTTGTTGATTTTAAAGAAAATGGAATAAGTCGTCCATTCATTCAAGCCTTCCCTGCCATTTTAAGGAGTGGTTGGGAAAAGATAGCCAACCAAAAAAAGATTTTCCTAAAAGTTAGCAAGATCTTCTTCCTATATGGTAGATCTATCCATTCCCACTGGTGAGCGTTTTCCATGATCTTCAGAAACTACAACCGATAGCCAGACACTGGGCTCATCCTGAAAAGAAAGCAACATATTTTTTTTTCTAGCTTGCTCATCTTTTCAAGCTAGTAGGGATAGTAAAAGCAGTCCATGGCTAAGTTAGGGGAATGCAGCCCTAGAGTTAAATTATTACGTTATTTTAATTTTAAGTCCACCCTGCAAATGTGCACGCTGGAGGCTGGCATGTTTCCATTGTGTGACAAGATTTTGTTTCCAGCATCCTCCAAACTTTTTCCCCTTGCCTGTTTTTGCCTGTCTGTCTCGCTCCCCTTCCGTTTGGACGTCCACCTTGGCAGTGAGCACCGCAGCTTCCCTTGATGTGAGCACCGGCTTGCATTAGGTCCTGTGCTGGTCCTTGTCTTGGAGAAGGAGCCATGTTGTAGCCACCCCCCTTCCCTTTCACTGCTAAATGCCTGGGAAGAAATGCACTAAAAAGCTATTTGATGCACACACACACACACACACAAGCTTTTTGGAGAGGAGAGGAACAATACAAAATCTGAGCCGTTTGTATCTCTGTAGGATAATATATCCAGTTTGTCCTTGAAGGATGTTCTTGGTGCAGTGGAGATTTCCTGGTTGAAAGCAAATGTCGAGAAAGGGGGAAATTTGTAAAAATACAGAATGGGAGTCTGTCAGGGAATTGTGCAGCAGGTGTCCAAATGGAGTCAGAGATGGTGGCACGAACTTGTAGTTTTATATAAATAAGTATTTTTAAATAAGATAGGCAAAAAGGAACATCGTCAGGTAAATCTACTCGGCAAGAACATCGTGAGGTAAATCACAGAGCGCACAGAGGAAAAAGGCGGGAAACAAGGAAACTCCCCCTTTACACTCACAGCAACCAATCACAGCTTTCATTGCCTCATGAAGTGGCCAACTTTCTTCAACCAATCAGCTACAGCTGTGTGTTCTTACTCTGTTGTCCAATCCCTCACTTCTCCAGCAATCAAATATCTTAACAGACATATCTTAACATTAAATAATATAACAGAGTCCCATTTTCCTAGATTAAATTAAATATCTTAACAGAGTCCCATTTTCCTAGATGTATTCTGAGGGGGCCTTGGTGCTCTCTGAGCTTGGTTGTTTTCTTGCAGATATTTCATTACCAAACTAGGTAACATCCTCAGGGCTAGTAAGGAGTGGGACTTACTCTCAGTTTATGTTCTAGTGGCTTGCCCTGTCAGTGTTGGTGGGGCTGGTCTTAAAGGTTTTTTGATTGGGATGTTTATGGTTGATTTGTTCTTTGATTGGAGCATTGCTTACTTGATTGTTGGTCTGATGTTTATCTTGAAGTTAATTTATGCTCATTTGGGTGCTGATTGCTGATTGAGAGAAGTTTGGGTCTCCCCCCCCACACCTCCCCATGAACATACATGAACATCACAATTAACATCAGACCAACAATCAAGTAAAAATTCACCAATCAAGGAACTGCCAAACTAGCCAACAATAAACATTTCAACCAAAATAAAACCTTTTAAGGCCAACCCAGAGCAAGCCACTAGAATATAAACTGAGAGCAAAAACCCACCCCCGTCTAACACGGATGATGTTCCCCAGTTGGGTCATGAAATGTCTGCAAAAAAGCCACCAAGCTCAGAGAGCATCAAGGACCCCTCGTTTCAGCCCTGAGCTACAAATATGCTCCGTTATTGGTAGATGTCTTCTTTCGTGACAGAGACAAAACATTGCAATCCGCCCTCAATTTTATTTCCTAGGATGCTTTTATGATGCCGCTCGGTGCTTTAAGTCATGCTTCTGTTATTAGCAACTGAAGTCAGCTAGAGGGAAGAGGACCTTCAATTCTTCTGTGGGGTGTAATGGAAACGGAAAATTCTTGCCCTGGTCTCAAGGGAAGGTCTTCTTGGGGAAAACTGGCCTCTTCTTGACCTGCTCAGCAAAAAGAAAAAAAAAAGGATTTCATGAATGTCTTCATTGTAATGCTGGTGAATAATGATGCTGAAACTCACAACAGCTTTGTTATGAGCATAAATCTCGCTCTTTTCGGGAGAAATGGAGGAGAAAATAGTTAAGGAACATTTGTGAAGAGCAGGGAACATGGAAAAGGAGAGAGGCCAACAGAAGCTAAAATAGGGTGTCCATCACAAAAAGCAGAAGCAAGTTTCCAAACACACAATAGCACTTTGCGCAGGACGTTTTAGATTGTTTTAGCTTTTGTGATCTTTTCTGTTCATTTGAAGATAAATCTTTGTTTTGTGTCTGTTCTGTGTTTAGCATTGTTACTTTAAAAAAAAAACAATTCTGGCTCCAAACATCAGGTAATTTTACAAAGTCGGCTTAAGCCGATTTTGATGCAAAGGTGTGAAGCGGGTGTGACCAGGACTGGTTGAATGTTCGAAGTTTGCACCTTGCAGACTGGGAAGAAGAATGGAAACTTTGTACAATCATGAATTGTATTATAGGGACAAGGAAAGGCTCCCGACTCTGTATCAGTCGGAAGGTTAATCAGCCAGATCTTTACATCGTCAACGCTGTTCTGGGTTTCTTAAGCCAAAAAATAGACATTATCTTGAATATGATGCCAGAATAACTCGGTTTCTACTCAAATTCCACGCCTCCAGTAGTTTTGGCCTCTGATGGTGTCTTCCTGGAGTAATCAGAGAAGAACATAGGGATGAAAATTTGGGTCTGTGTCTAACTTCTCTTCTCCTCTCCTCTCGAATCCCCTCTTACCAGCTCCCTGCCCGAGGAGAAGAGCAAAAATGGCACCTCCTTTGAGACTTGTCCCAAGCCAAGCGAGAAGCAGGAGATGGAGCAGGCCGAGATTGACCCCGAATACAAGCGCAGTCGAGCCAGGGAACGCCGAAGAGAAGGTCGCTCCAAAACCTTTGACTGGGCTGAGTTCCGCCCCATCCAGCAAGTCCTGGCTCAGGAGAGAGCCAACTTGGCAGAGACTCTGAAGGACACCTCCGCTTCATTCCCCAAGGAGCCCGGCCCCTCGGAAACGGACCCCGGGGAACTGGAGCGAGAACGTGCCCGCCGAAGAGAGGAGAGAAGGAAGCGCTTTGAACACCTGGATGCTACTGATGGAGGAAGCCCAGAAGACTTCTCCAGGATGGAGGTGGATAGGCTTTCGGGGTTGCCTGCCGGTATGGAGGCCAAGTCTCAAAGTGTCCATGTGGAGATTGAGCAGAGGTGGCATCAGGTGGAGACCACTCCTCTGCGGGAGGAGAAACAGATCCCTATTGCCCCGCTTCATCTTCCTCAGCCGGAGGAGAACGGCGAGATACTCCATAAGCAGCATCTGACTGTGCTGCTGGAAAAGGAGGTAATGTGGGGAAGGGAAGGGAAGGGAAGGAAGGAAGGAAGGAAGGAAGGAGGGGGAAGGAAGGAAAAAAGAAAAACTGAAGGGAGGGAAGGAAGGAAAACTGGAGGGAAGGAAGGAGAATGAATGAATGAATGAATGAATGAATGAGGGAGGGAGGGAAGGAAAGGAAAGGAAGGAAGGAAAAAAGAAAAACTGAAGGGAGGGAAGGAAGGAAAACTGGAGGGAAGGAAGGAAGGAGAATGAATGAATGAATGGATGAATGAGGGAAGGAAGGAAGGAAGGAAGGAGGGGGAAGGAAGGAAAAAAGAAAAACT